CCACACACACACACACACACACACACACACACACACACACACACACACATGCACTCACGTCATGCGGACTTACTATGTTACAATAATGATCGGGTAAAGATCTCAGTACCGACACCAGTCAAACTTTGGCCGATTGACGATAAACTAAAAACTTCTTTACCCAGTTAGCACAATGCTTCTGATAAGTCACTGAGGGGGCTGGTGAGTTAAACGCTCCAGGCCATTACGTTACATATCACCTGAAAGTCCAGATCTAAACTGCATTTGAACACATGACTAACTGTTTTGTGGAGGTGAATAAAATATTTATTTGCCGCTTCTCAAGGATGGCAAAATAACAGTGGATGTGGGCATCCATATCACACAATCGCGCAAGCACGAAAACGAGAATTCATGCGCTTCTACGTGAAAATGGGTCTTCACTCTCCCTCTCACCAAGATACGACGAAGAATGGCAAACAAGTCGAATGATTTTCAAGGTAACGATTTGAGACCAATTCTAAGGACGCACAACTTCATAACCGAAGGTTGGGATTACAGTGAGTACTTGTGTTCTCATCAGGGGTATTAGGTGTTAGGGTTTCCGCCACTGGTAATGGTGGCACTTCCGATTCAGAAACTTGCCACACTCACAAAACTGTCCCCTTCCTTCGGTCTACATCAGCCCCCAACCCTCGTCTGCGGTTACACGCAGCTGTTTGGATGTGGCAACTATCACACTAGCTACGACGGGCCATATCAAGTGAGGGTAGCCGGGATACTTGGAACACAATGAGTTTTACCTATGCATGCGAAACGGTTCAGATAAACCAGATACATGAAATCCTGTTCTGTGCTGAACAGCCAGGAAGGCGGTTTAAATGCAAGTGTGTCATTGTAAAATCCCTACAACCTTGCATACCGCATTTGGTTGTGTTAAGATCAGACGCGCACATTCGGATACAAATCCGAGTCGTTGGGGGTGTCATTCGTGTAGAATTCCCTCGATACTTAATGCGCTTTTCATGAGGCCGGCTTATTCTCTGGGAAGAGATAGCTGGAGTAGATTAAGTGAGGGCAACACCTTGATAGGACTTCACGTTAGGTTCTTGTGTTCCGTCATATGCCATTCTACGCTGTTGCTAAGACAGTTGTACTTACCAAAACTAGTATACGACCTATTAACAGCTCAATACCCATTCGACAATTAAATGACAGAAAACAAATGACATCCGGTGTTGAACTGCAATGATATATGGAATTTAGGCGTCTCGTTCCGAACAGAATAAACCAAACAGAACAGTAGACCTGGAGTGATACATGAGAATTAAACAACCACTGTGCTTTGCGGTGTCACGTGCAAACACATGTGTGCAGTTCCGAGCTCTTGATTATGATATGAACTGCTTTGCGTTAGATCACTGCATTAAACAGTCAATTGGAAAAAACTGCCAGTCATGCCAACAATCCTGCAAGTGCTGCCCGTCTGTCTCCCGAATGCTGAGAAAGAACGATTTAAGCCTCGAAATGAAAAACTCTATAGATCAATAATTCTCCAAAATGGGAAAAAGATAGATAGGACAAAAGATGATTATAAACGATGAGGTATAGCGAGATAACTACCGGGTAGAGGAAACACTTCAGCAGTATTTGAGTAGCAGTTGTGCGCCTGACAATTTAGTGCACCTTCTTGAAATAATCCTTTGATCCATGCACATCTGGTTTGATCGTCGGACTGTTTGGTTCCCAGTTGGCCGGGCACACTGTTATTGGGATATGTGGCACAAAAAGGTGATGAATTATTGGTGAATGAAAAACTCCGGAAATTGAGCGATAAGATAAGAAGATAAGTTGCGCACACCATTCTTCACTAACTGCTCCACGAAGGGGATACTATTGTCGTTGGCCGACACTAGCCTCCTCCAAATCTAACTAAATGCTGTGGGTAGAACAGAGGGACAATTATGTGACCGAGCGGTTCATCAATCATTTGGCGGAAAGCTCCTGGAGGGAATGATGATCGATGGATTACAATCAACCCGATGGTGGTTTTGTGATACCATGGTCCTACTTGAGCAACCTGTCAGATTATTACCAATCCTGACCCCTTCACGACTACGTATATTCCAATAGTCGCAGATGATACGAAAACCCGGTTATTTTAGTAGTGGACACCAGTTGAGATGCAGCAATATAATCTCGGATATATACCATGAATTTGGTGGTTTTCGCACCAAAAGAGCAGTGAGCTTTTAAAAAAGAATCACTTGAGCAATCAACACCGATTTCCTAGTCATCGTGCCATGCGAAAAGCACCTTACAAACATTTCATGTCGAATTGTATCGATTCAGAATGCGTGCCCCAACAAGTACAATATTGCACTGATGCAAAATAGTTCAACAGCTCCTACTGGTGTCTGATAACCGATTTTGATAAATGCTTTGGTCTGCAAATGGATCAATGACATTTCGCGCAGTTATCGATCACCAGGATCGATACGACCCATTGGACGTGGTGAGAGCGTTACCAAAACAGAATTCATGTGCACAACCTCGTGACGCACAAATAGAGCCCACAAGGTACACAATAATAAAATATGACACTAAAATGAGGTGTACACACTTTTTACACATGATGGCAAAAGTATAACTGGAAAAAGCGAAATGTATCCGGTTTTAAGAAGTGTGTAAAGCACGGTGTGCGAATGGTTTTCTGGGAAGAAATCAGATGCGAAAGAGCCTTTCGACGTGGCACAATGGAGTTCGTCTCGTTCTCGGAATACCTAAAACCGGATTAGGCCTCAAGACCTTGCACGAAGTGAGTGAATTCAATTCACATTTTTCAAAGTGAGCAAAGTAGAATTCTACTGTTAATGATGATGATCAACAAGTAAAAATTTGGAACAAATGTAGACAGAATATAATGATGTCCGACCATGCACTCAAAAGCAACTCATTCGAAATACCAAACACCTACGGTATAGACACTCGGAACTGCATGAATGAAGTGAGTCGCGAATGACAAAGCGTTTAATACGACACCCTAAGAATTGGTGTTCAACTGATGCGCACCGAGGCAGTGAGATATATTGCATGAAATACCTACCCAAGAGCACCGACTAGACAAAACAAAAACAAAACTAATAGCACGAGGTGAGTCGAAAAGCGCCTCGTGATGCAAAAGCTCAACCGAGATGATGGGCTAACAATTCACGAGGATGCCGCTGAATTGCGCAGTTGGAGATAGTCCGGATTACGACTATGGCCAATCTAAGTTCTGGCGATAAACCAAACTGATGCACGTAACAAGGTTCATACAGCTGTACAAAGATTTCGATCACTAACCCAGCTTTTTCCGACAGCGGTTATAAGAGAAAAAGATAGTCCAGTGTGGCAATGATTTCCGATCAAACTCACCTTCACCATGTTTATCTGTGAATTGAAATGCCCTCACTAGTCGGAGCACTTCATCCACGGATCGCCCCACTGGTAAATCATTGATAGTTACTTGGCGAACAATACCCTGGGGATTGATGATGAACAGGCCACGTAGGGCGACACCCATCGGCTCCAGAAGTACACCATAATCACGAGATATGCTCTTTTTGTAGTCCGACAAAAGAGGGTATTTTAGACCACCCAGTCCTCCTTCCTGTAAAATAAAGTGACGTGGTTAAACCCAGTAGATAATAAGATCATCATGGTAATGATGTAAAGCAGCAATCAAACCAAATTCGATAGGTTTTACTGATATAAAAATGATCGCAAATCATTAAGACAGTATAATCAACCGCTAACTAACAAACTTGTAACTCATCATCATTACTATCGTACGATGGAATACAGTAGGGCAAACTTCACTGATTGCTGCCAAACTCACCAAACACAAGGTAAGAGTGAATATGTAAGGTGGGCGGAGATTGGGCCTCTGTTTGACTCTACGTTCGACTCTCCTGTTTTTCTGCTGTTCATACAAATGGGTAATCGAAAGATACCGACCAAAACTGGCGCACGAAACTGCATGATTAATGGTTGTACTGAACAACAGTTTGACGGAGAACTAGCCCAGGAAACAGAAATAATCGATCAATTTTCGGTAGTCTAACTTCATTTCCTCATACCACGCATTAGTTTTTATTGAAAAATACAATTTCGTTTGTTTTTAAAGGTCTGTGTAAACTGTTTATAACACGAGTTAGACAGTGAGGAAATTGCAAAACAAAATGCACTAGCCAGCTTGTATAACAGATGATCTTGAAAGAAACGGGATAAAGAAAAACTGTATTTCAAGGTATTCGAATGAAAGAACCTTATTAATATACTGGACTCCGTACCTTGCGTGGTGTGTTTATCCAAGCCAAATGGCTGAAGTGGGAGTCCGTTGAAACTCCAACGACCGCCGCGCCAGCTTCTTCAAACTCCTTGATTCGATCGGAAAAAGCGATTAGCTCGGTGGGGCAAACAAAAGTGAAGTCGAGTGGATAGAAGAAAAGAACCAAATATTTGCCAGCATAATCCTTTAACTTGATCTCCTTAAAGTCACCATTCACGACAGCCATACCGGCAAAGTCTGGAGCCGGATGCTGAACATGGGCCGCAAAACATCGAGCAACCGACAAGGAAGGACGAGCAAGACGAGTTAGTCGACCGACTGATCGAAGGGCGTTTGCAAACATTTTAAGGCTATAATGAAGAGAAAACCAATTTTCATTAACGCATAGTATTGCAGTTAAAAGAGGTAGACATGCAACCGTTTAATTTTTGATCTCAAAGAAATAGTGAGGCACGTGCTACAACCTACGCAGTGACGAAATGCTGGCTTACGAATTAGATAGGGAAACTAAAAATAAGTCTTATTGAAAGAAACAAACGTTCGAATCATGTGTGCGAGCAAGCGTTCCCGTATAATTTGGTCATCACTCACATTTTCATGAACCATCAAAACAAACCCACATTCAAGAACGCCACTGGTGTCGGTTCGCTGCCAGCCGAAGCCAAAGTCGTGCTTATGGCAATGCTTCGCCCGAGGTCACTACAGAAGGGGGTTTCAGTTCAGTTTGAACAACCATTAACCATGCACTTTCGTGCGCCGGTTTTGGTTGCTGTCTTTTGGCTGCCCATTGAGATGAAGAATAGGAGAAGAGAGGAAAGTTGAAAGTGGAGGGTTGCTGTCTTTTGGCTGCCCATTGGGATGAAGAATAGGAGAAGAAAGGAAAGTTGAAACTGGATTCGAAAAGAAAATGGAGTTCAGTGGACAAAGGCTGGAAAGAGATTAAGGAGATGCACGAACACCACTGAAGGGGGTACTCACAAGGGTTGCTCTCTCTCTCTCCGTTTCTATTTGAATGTCAAATTTTATTACAAAAACAGCCATATTCTCATGTGAGGAAAGTGGTATCGATTTGTTAACGGTTGATCGAATGTCTTATCTACAGTATGCAGACTACTTCGTGCAGCTAAGTGAAGACCTAGGTAAGTTGCAAGCTTTCTCGGATAGTTTGAGTGTTAGCATAGCCATGTTCGGTATGCGTTTTGCACCTTCAAAGTGTAAAATGTTGCTACAATATTGGGTTGACCCAGCCCCCAACCTCACCCTGACTGTGGAAGTAGTAGAAGAAGTAGACAAATTTTGCTATCTGGGCAGCTATATCTCACGTGGCGGACGCATCACAGATGAAGTGTCAGCGCGTATACAAAAGGCTCAGTTAGCATTTGCCAACTTGAGACACCTGTGTTGCCGTCTCGACATCCGGCTGTCTGTGAAGGATCGAGTATATGCTGCAGCAGTTCAGCCAGTGCTGCTTTACAGTGCAGAGACTTGGCCATTACGGGAACATGATAAAAATACATTGTCGGTTTTCGAACAGCGCTGTCTACGTCGCATTACACGAGTTTGGTGGGGTAACCGCACTAGCAGTGCTGAGGTTATTTACCTTTTTGTACTTTTGAACGATTCATGCGGAAAAATAAGCTGGCTTCTTGGATGTCTCTAATGGTGGCGGGCCATGTATGACGATCGGTAGCAAAGTTGACACAGTGTAAGACCCATTTCTGGGTCCAGTTGCGAATTCCATATACGGACTGAAGGCCCAGTAATTCCGAACCCACTTTGACTGTACTACTCCAGGTCTTCAGTTGACTACCGAGTCGGCAACGCGATCCACGGCACGGTGCGGCTTGTCGCGAGAGTTGAGTGTCGGGTCTTCGGACCACATAACCAAACCACTGAGGGCACCGGTGTTGTAGCATTTTTGAAAGCTTGTCAATGTTCAAGCAGCACCGTTGAACCTCATCATTGGAAATCCGATCTCCAATTTACTTTCAAGATGCGGCGTAAGCACCAATGATCAAAGTCTTCGAGCTTCCTTGTATCTTGTACTCTCAGCGGCCAGGTTTCAGAACCATAAGTGAGGATGGGGCGGATGGAAGCTTGACAAACCCGAAGCTTAGTGCTTAAGCTTATTTCGTATCGATTCTGCAAAGGTTTGAGGAGTGGCAGGAAGGCTCTTCATCCTTAGCCTGGACGTTTGGTCGTATCTTAGAGCCAAGATACTTGAAAACTTCGGTTGATTCGACCAGC